TCGATGCTGCGTGAGGTGAAATCACCACAGCACAGGTGATGAGCTCCGCAGCAGAGCGCTTCAGGCACAAATAAGACATAAAATAGAGAACATGTGCAGACAAGAACGATCGTGTGCTAATTATAGTTTTTTGGTTGCGCCACTTTGAGAATGGACCGTGCGCTGGAAGCAGCTGCCTGGATCGCTGTGCAACAATGCGGAACCGGTTCGCAGCAGCGCAAGTCTGCAGGCTCTCCCTCGCGCTGATCTGCGGCTCTCCCTCGCGCTGATCTGCGGCTCTCCCTCGCGCTGATCTGACTTGCTCTGGTCTGCGCGCAACGGTGGGCGGGAAGGGGGGGGGGGGTGCGCTTTTGGAAGAGTTGTGCGACACAACGAATCGATGACGCAATTCGTTGCCAACGCTTTTAGTAATCGATTTTCATCGAATTCATCGATTCGTTGTTGCAGCCCTACTCGATACAGCTGCATATTGAGGGAGTAAACAACTTGAAATAAAAGCAACACCACTACTTTAAAGTATATTCATAATATAAACACATTTTTTAATCAGTGTACTTCCTAAAAAGGTGAAACTTAAAGGACAACTTGGATGTGTTTTCTTCTTATTTAGATGCTTTTCTGAAAAGAATCGGATCGAGACTCGGTATCAGCAGATACTCAGAATCAAATGAATTGGATCAGGAGCAGAAAACATGATCAGAATATCCCTAATGATAACAATGGCTTTAGCAAAATAAGATTTCTTTCTAGGAAATGTATCCTTTCAAAAATTACTAAATAAGAAAAGTTAAATTAGTGTAAAAACTGAAGCCTGATAGTTTTCTATAACAGGACATAATAAAAGGGCTGCGCAGTGGCACAGTGGTTAGAGCTGTTGCCTTGCAGCGAGAAGGTCCTGGGTTGGCTTCCTGGCCTGGGATCTTTCTGCATGGAGTTTGCATGTTCTCCCTGTGCATGCGTGGGTTCTCTCCAGGTACTCCAACTTCCTCCCACAGTCCAAAGACATGACTGTTAGGTTAACTGGTCTGTCTAAATTGTCCTTAGGTGTGTGTGTGTGTGTGTGTGTGTGTGTGTGTGTGTGTGTGTGTGTGTGTGTGTGTGTGTGTGTGTGTGTGTGTGTGTGTGTGTGTGTGTGTGTGTGTGTGTGTGTGTGTGTGTGTGTGCATGGTTGTTTGTCCTGTGTGTCTCTGTGTTGCCCTGCATTGGACTGGCTCTCTGTCCAGGGTGTACCCCACCTGATTGCCCGTTGACTGCTGGAGATAGGCACCACCACCCCCACCCCCGGCACCACGCGGACGAAGCAGGCTCAGACAATGGATGGATGGATGGATGGACATAATAAAATAAATCACAAGGTTGGAGATAGATTTTTTTTACAGTGTTTGATGTCATATTTAAATCAAACCTGTTCTTTTGAAACACGATGAGTTGTATAACCATTTGAGCCATCCTATTGGAATGTGCTGCTGTACATGACATTTTTACCCATTTTACATCCTAATATTGGCCACGTTTCAGCTTTTTGGACTCATTACTTCACATTTTACTTCATACAAATGACTTAAAAATTGCAAAGTACCATGCTTAAGTCTAGGACTGTTGTCATTTTACCTTAAGGCTTCAAATACTGAAAAAAAAGCTAAATATTTTAACCTCAAACTGCTCTTAGATAAAAAATGTAAAATGAACTAATAAATAATTACAGATAATAATAAAATTATAGATAGCTTCCTGGCAACATTTATTGATGTAATGACCTCAACTTTAATAACCAATTCCCAAATATGTACTTTATTGTTAATTATTTAGGTTTTGCACACTTTTACAGTCAAGATAATTTAACATAAACTCAACATTTTTTGGCTGTCTTGGCTAGTTGCTACTTGTCAATAATCATTCTATTTTATGCATTTAAGAGGCAGTTGTACCTAAAGTGGCTCACAGATTAACCTCACATGCATGTGTTTGGTCTTTGGGAGGACCCATAGAAAACCATGCATGCATTGAGAGAACAAGCCACCATGCAACCCTAAACTTAACTTCAAACTGATGGACTTAAAATTGGTTAAACATCAACTTTTCCCAACTTCATGGAGAACATCATCCACTCCTCTAAATTATTTTTTAATTTGTCGATTTGACACAAAACAAGCTGCTTTTTAAAGTTTACACTTTGCGATTATCATGTAAGGAAATGAGGAAACGAAGAGTTTTGCTGCCCAGTAAACATATGCTTAATTAGCACGTAGCTTCTAGATAATGGCTATTGCTTTTCCCCAAATGGAAATAAGTCCTTTACCGTTTTCAACTGAGCGTTTATTATTTTTCCATGTATCAGATACTATTTTTGTATCTGATACATGGAACAAACAAAAATAATACATTTTTATGACTGTTTCAAAAGTTAAAGTGACTAATTAAAATGGGTTAAATATGGGTTGTTTCCAAATCAAATTAATACAATAAAAATGTTTGTAAACGGTCATTTATAGCCTGTTTGAACTGCCCTTTGGGTAATTTACCAACTATTGAAGTTGGAGTGGATCATCCGCTGATTCAACCAAAAGGCTGTTCCTTCTTTTGGAGGCCAGCCAACAGGAAAAGCTCTCGTCTATGAAAAGTGACAAGTGGTCATCCTAATCGGCCTTGTTACTGACAAAGAGGAGATGCGTGCTAATTAGCATCTACCTCATCTGCAGTGGAAAACAACACAGATCTTTTAGTTGGTCAGAATTTGTTATTTTAAATGTATTTTTGTAGCATTTTTAGCTACATGTGTCACATGTGTTTATGTTCCTGTGTGGGATTGGTGGCTGGGATGCACTATTAAGCAGTACAAGTCATGAAATCTTTCTGTGTATTATGTGTGTGTGTGTGTGTGTGTGTGTGTGTGTGTGTGTGTGTGTGTGTTGTGTGATGCGTGAATCATAACTGAGCAACTGAAGCCTGTAGGCAGGGTGGCAGAAGTTCGTGAGAGGTCAGACAAGCCGCCCATGCACTGTGACGAGCCAATGAACGCACTTCAGCATGCTCCAGATCGAAATGATGCTCAGATAGAAATAAGCAACCCCCCCCCCCCCCCCCCCCCCCCACACACACACACACACACACACACACACACACACATCTAGTGGAGACGAGAGGTTGAACGAGATGAGTGAAGCTAGCCTTTCCATCCGGAGCTCATTTCAGGAACGTCTGTTCCTAATGATTGTGTCCGACTCTGACAGCATCCAGCTGAGACCGGGACCCTTCAGTTGCACAATGAAAGCACTTCTGAAGCTTTCCACCGACATGTCATCAGAACTCCAGCCTCTCATCTTGCTTTGGTGAGTGTGCTGCTCTCCTGATATTTGCATAAAAGTGTGAAAGCTGCAAAGGTAGCCCCCCCCCCCCCCCCCCCCCCGAGTGGGAACAAAAAGGGGAGCTCAGTTTTAGGAGATGAAGGGCGTGTGAATCAAATAAGTAAAATTATATTTTCTCAGAATCCAATTTGATTTTCCTTGTTTTCTTATACAACACCCACCACCATCACCAGTTCAAGGAGCTAATTTAGAAAAAAACATCTGTTTTCCTGCTTGTATTGTAAGGTTGCAAATGAAGTCATACACCTTCCCTTAGACTAGATTGTAAGATGCATGAAGGAAAAACACATCAAAGACAAATTGAAAAATGTGCTTTCTTACTCTCACTGACCTTATGAGATCCACGTGACCTCCATCCTCTGGCTTTGCATATATATATATATATATATATATATATATATATATATATAACATAACTTTTCCAGAAAGCTCACATCCAGTGATTTAACAACTCATTTTCTTCCTATTTCGTCACTTCCTCAGATCCTCAGACAATACATCTCATTGACGATCCATTACGATACCCAGGATGCATCACTGCTCCATCTCCCAGTAATGGACTTCCAAGTCTTTGACAGTCTGATGTGTTACATTCTCACATCTTCCCCTTTGATGATATTAGTCTGTGAGCTGTTTAGCTGCATTAATCCCTTACATGTTTATCATGCTGTGCTTATTCGATTGCCCCCCCCCCCCCCCCCACACACACACACACACACACACACACACACACACTATGCTGACAGAGTCCAAACGCTTTGTAAAACGTAATTAATTTTGGGAGTTTTTGAACTGCAAGTCAATGACAAATATGTTTGCCAGATTGAAAAAGAGTGTCCTCATCTTTTCGTCCACCATGTGAACGTTTTCTGACACCTGAGATGGAAATTGGAATGCCATGATCTGACTGGACTTTCCATTAAATTTGACAGGTTTTGGTCATCTTCCACTGTCCTGACGAGGACACAAGAGGGACGTACACCAGCGTGGCTCTAATGCTTGCAGAGAGCAGGCTACAAGCTCCCTAACTTTCTTCTTCTGTGCTCAGTTCACATTTTTTACTTAAAAACAGCAACAGAGTCCAAACGTCACCAGGAATATTAATATTCATTCAGTGCATTTATGCATATCAATAAATTGTTAAGGAATAACAAAGAACATCTCAAAACATACACACACACACACACACACACACATATATATATATATATATATATATATATATATATATATATATATATATATATATATCCAAGTTAATCGTGTTAATGCTGTGTGTATATATATATTTTGATTAGAACAAATACCGGTCACACATCTGGCTGCAAAAACAGCCAGCTGCACCTCTTACTGGTGCATCTCTAATCACGCTTCTGCAACCCAGAGGTAAATATCAGTCATTACGACAACCTGTTTGTTTGATCAATATGGATAATTTATGTCAAAAATCCATGAGTATAAATGATTTGTATTATTATGCATTAATAAAATATGTTACAATCCAATGCATTAAATGCATTTCCCTTACTATTTCCAGAAACATTTGAGAAAATTCTACATATTCTGGATCTGAGTACAACATGCAGCCCACACGTTCTTGGGAAGTGACACAGATTTCGTGAGTTGCAGTCTTACCTTTGGCGTTTTAGTGCACTTTCCATTTCTAGCATCTTTTATGTGCGCAATATCCAACAGCTCAGTTTCCTGAAAGGAAGCAGAAGAAACACGACTAAATTAGTGGGAGTGACCGCTTGCTCACTCAAAGGCTTCAAAGGCTTTTTGGAGCATGAAGAAATGGATCCACGGTGGTTATTTTGAATCCAGTGTGACAAGAACCTTTTACTTTTATTCAAATACCTCTGACAGAAGACATCGAGTGTTCATGTGCATGTGTGTGTGTGTGTGCATGTGTGTGTGTGTGAGCATGTGTGTATAAGCAGCATAGCCTGAAAACCCAATGGCATAGAAGAGTCATTCATTAATTCAAACACACACACACAGTGACCGATTAAAAATATTTTAATAAGCTGCATCATAGCAGAGAAATCACTGCTGGAATGATGAAGAAAAAAAAGACAAAATGGCTGAAAAACACTTCACACATCCATGATGTTCGGCTGCTGCGTGATGTTCTGTTGAAACACCTGGCCACAGCTCGGTTAGCTCAGCTGTGTGAGTGGTAGTTAATGGGAAAACCAAAATATGAAGACAGTTCTGAATAACAGCATCGTGATTAAATAAAAAATGATTAAAAAAAATAGGGTCCTGTCCAGAGCTGCATTACCTGGAGGAGCAGGACGCATTACGGCTCCACATTTCACTGCACATATGCAGTAAAGAGGAAAAACTTGGGAGCTTATAAAGAGAAGCTCACACAATCAATTCCAAAGCGATGGGTTTTGTTGTTAATTTAAAAATAGTCATGACATAATCATGGATGGATCTATTGTTTGATCCAGCTCTTTGTGCATTTATCAATTTTACGAGAAGTATTTCAAGCTTATTTGCAAATGTATTGCAGCAGGAAATGTACTCATATATGAGTACACAGAAAATGGAGACGTGTCCTTCGATTAGGGCTGGGCATATGGCCGCAAATCTATTTTGCGATATAATCTGAAGCATGTGCGGTAACGATATATATTGCGATATATTTTTTCCTCTGTTTATAGATGTCAACATGACATGATTTTAAATATCCTCATGTGGCAAATATATGCCACTTTAGGCATATAGGTCTCCTCCTCCACCCACTCCATGCTTGCAGTCACTGCCATTCTGTTTCCCCAATGTCAGCAGGGTGCACATCTTAGTGATGGCATGTGTTATCGCGATATCGCGGTATTGCGATATAGCCAAAAACTCTATCATTCCCCAATTTTATATCGTTTCTACCTTATATTGTTTATATTGCCCACCCCTACCTTCGATCACCACGTGCCATATCAATCTGACTTATCTCAGACTCCATCTGTCTGAGAAAGAACAGGAAAATTAAAGCTGCGATAGCAAATCTGGAAAGCAAATTAGCTTAAAACATTGTTTCATGCCTCTTAAAGGTGTGGATTACTAAAAAAAACATTATTTCTGATTATAATCAGTCACTGTGAGGTTTTCATGCAGGCTGAACATGAAAATAGTCTACACATATCTCCTGCATTAACTTCTGATAGAAAATAGATGATTGAACACTAGGATTTGAAAATCCTAATAGATCTATATCACACTGAGCATTCATGGACTCACTCATCTTGACTAACAGCGAGAAAGGCTGTTGTTGGTTCAGCATCCAGGAAAATGCAGAGAACGTCCCGAGTTTATCTCTGTCTGACCCCAAAATAATTTCTAATCGGAATCTGGCGTCCTTGAGCCTGCAAGGCTACAACGAAAACTCCCCCCTCAGAAGATATATATGGAATGTGCCGTCGCTATGGCAACTCAACTCTGCCTCCTCTCCCAGCCTGGGTGGGACTGTGGGAAGGCTGCTGAAGCGTTCAGGGTCACTGCAACCCTCCAACCCTAAATCCCCCCCCCCCCCCCCCACACACACACACACACACACACACACACACACTAAGGTGACATGTGCTGCTTATCGTGGCTGCAGGAGCTGAAGTTGGGATACTCCCAACCTACCACCCCACCTAGTGGACACTTATGTAGTGCTGTCTGTAGTCTGTTGCATATCTGTCTGAGGTGTTTTTTTTTTTGTAGAGTAAAGCTGCCCTCCTGCTGGAGAGTAGCTCGGAAGTGCCTCTTTTTTTCCCTCCACCTGAACCAACCCTCCTGCAAACCCCTCTTATCTCTATTAAGGTAGCGCGACCAGAGGTGGAAAGAGTACTAAAATGTCCTACTTAAGTACGAGTACCAATACTTTGATAATTTTTTACTCAATTACAAGTAAAAGTACTTGCTTAAATGTTTACTCAAGTAAAAAGTATCGTAAACAAAACGTACTCAACGTAAAAGCTACTTAGTTACATTTTTGTCAGCGTAAAGATGGCTACATCTAAGTAGTGCTAAATCACAATGCCAGTTCACAATTCGCTCGTGTGTGTGTGCGCACACACACACACACACACTCAAACACGCACAGCTTGATGGAAGGATTTCTATCCAATCAGTGAGAACAGGACGTGCACATTGATTGGACGAGGTTGGTACGTTTCAATTGTGATTAAAATTATTCTTTATTTTGATAAAAAAAAATAATTTTTTTAGATGCCATCAGCATGCGAGGTATCTCAATGTTTTCATGACAAAACTCTAACATGAGACTGTGCTCTAACCTGTCACATAACAAGCTAAATGAAAGTCAAACATTTCAGATGGACCGTATGACTGCTGCTGATGTTGGCCCTGCCCTACTTTACCTCTACATTACAGTTCCTTTATCCGTGTCCATCCTAGAGCTCGTCTCTGACCTTCATGCTTATTTAAAGCAGCTGATTTTTAAAGTTAGCAGAGTTCATCCTTAATCCTTCACCACTGAAATCAGTTTGTTCATTCCAATCCTCCCAAATAATCCTCCAATCATCCAACTGGAATCCTTAAGGGTCCCGTAACGTCCATCCTATCAGAACAGGCCTTGGGAGCCCAGGTGTCACAAGAACTAACAGTGTCTCCTCACCAGCGTGAGCCTCCACACTGTGAAGGTTGGTCTCCAAACATGAACTTTAAATTCATGTTTTTATCTCCTCTTGTAACACTTTAACATGTTTTAAAAGGCTAGTATCATAAGTTACACCTCCCAGACCAAAGATAAGATAAAATATTATCATAAAAACTGCAGAGACGTCATTATTTATGAAATATAAGTTATTTTCCTGAGCCGTTACTTCAGCCAAGATATAGGATGCATGGATTTGATGAAACCACTCTGTCTCATGCAGCTCTATATGTGTAGCACACACACACACACACACACACACACACACACACACACACACACACACACACACACACACACACACACACACACACACACACACACACACACACGCACGCACACACACTGCAGCATGTTAGAATCATTTGAATGACTAATTTAACTACACTGAACTGCTTTAGTAATACTTGAATCTCTTATTCTGGAGTAAAATAAAGAAACAAGCTAAATCATCACATATGTGCGGCATCAAGAAGTATCTTCTGAGTTCAAACACAGGGATGGAGCACAATATTTACACCTGAACAGTATCAGGATGTTTTAACTCACAGAGGCCTGCAGGTCTTCTGTTTTATGAGCAGAGCGCTGATAATCGGCTTCTTAGGAGCGCTAAACGTAATTTTGCCGCTTCCGTGCGGAGCGGTAGGGAAACACGTTTCAAACACGGAACCGAGTCCGGCTACCGAACCGAGCAGAATTCTGATGACGTAACACCGGTGAGCGAAGGTGCGGGTTCCAACCCACAGGTGAGGAGGGAGAGAGGAGGTAAAGAGCAAGTTGAGGGACTGAACTGATGTCTTTGAGCAAAAGTTAACCCAGTTTCTCCTTCTAAATTTCCCGTTAACCGTGTTTGAGTGGAATGATACAACTAGAAACAAAGTTTTGCACGCGCAAGCGGGTTAAGGTCAGGATGGGGGTGGGGGCATGGTTAAATCGCTACAGGTTAGAGGTTAAATGTTGGTGAAATGTCCGTTTTACCGCTGACGTCAGAGAGTGATGCTCTGGCACAAGGGGGCTCCTAATGCGTCTTAAACAAAGACTTGGTCACCCTTCGTCAGTTTTAGCAACTTCGGGTGTGAGAATGTGTTTACACGATACATTTAACTGAAAATTTTTATGGTAACAACCAACGATTTACACAGGAAAATCATGAAGATGAACAAGACTGCCCAAGCTTTCACATCCCACTGGCTACAGCGCCTATGGCCCGCCCATGGCGACGGGTCTGCTTGCCCGGCCGCCATGAATGCTCTTAAGCAGTGTAACGTCGATCTGTGTAGCTTTTTCTGACACAAGAATTTCCCTCTTCTCCTTAAGCTGAAAATGCAGGGAATAGGGGCAGAATACTATTTTCACATTCAGCATTCCTGTGAAACTCAGGGTGACCTACTGTTTTTCAAAAGTAACCTTTATGACTTGTGGGTTATTCCTTCACTGCCACGTGTTTAACATCAGTTAGGCTGTCTCTGTTTGCAGCGAGAGAGAGAGAGAGAGAGCCTCGGAGTCAAAGGTTAACGCCAGCATCGGGCCTGCCTTTGAAGACTCTTTGGAGAGTCGGAGCTCCACATGGGGTTCTGGTGGAACGGTGGAGCTTCAGGAAGCAGCTCACTGATGGAGGGCTTTGTTGTGCCCTCTAGCCCCACACACTTAGCACGGCTCTAAGCTGGTTAAATGCCATCCGTTAACCTATAAAGATGACATAAACGGTAAAGTAAACTCCCTCTGCGGGTGGTGAGCTGCTCACGGTGAGTGACCGCTAACACAATCAGTGTGCAGCCATTTCCGTGTCATCCACAGACTTCAGTTTACAGGATGTGGGCACTTAGTGCACCGGTGTGATCAGCATGTGATGTCAGGGAAAATGTAATAATGGTAACTTCAAAATATGAGTGAAGATGTACAATTAGTTAATTAAAGCTCTGTCTTTCAAACTATCAGTCTCACTACATTTTCTCGATTTCCCATATGTTCTTTTCATCTCTATCCTGTTTTTATTCACCACTCTCTTTGTAGCTCCGGCTTGTCCTCTCAGATT